CCGGTACAAGTCAAACTGAGTCGGGTTCGCGCTTGTTGAATCCGACGAGGAGCTGTTCCGGGAACCTCTTTTTGTCACCACGTTCTGCGCTTTGCGCCCAGAAACGGGGTCAGATCGCGCGCGGCGGAAGATGGCGTCGTCGCGTCGATGCTCCAGAGATGAAAAATTCTCGTCGCCGCCGTCGTCCTGCATGTAGAGGAGCGTCTTGGAGTCCTCCGCCCAGAAGGCCTGCCGAATGCCGCGGTACCGGTCTTTCGTGATGACGCGATCGTCCGAAGCGCCGACGGTGCGGCACCAGACATTGAGGACGCCCTCGTCGGGTCGGAGGTAGGCGAGCAGCTTCCCGTCCGGGCTGATTATTGGAGAGGCGTATTCGGGGTTGCCAAAGAGCACTGACTTGGGGATGATGGCGTCGGAGGTGGTCGCAGCCATGCGAACGGCGGCGCGGGTTGCGGCATTGGAGGCACCATCAGCGACAGCGGTGGCCGACTGTGAGACGGCGTGCGTCCGAATCGGCAGCGTGCGATGCGTCCACGCGCAGCCCACGATGAGAGGGAGGTGGAGCAGCATCGCGTCCAGCAGGCTCGGCACAGAGGTCGCGTCAGCAGGCTTGGCAGCACAGAGCACGTCAGCAGGCTCGGCACAGAGGTCGCGTCGGCAGGCTCGGCACCTCGGCAGCAGGAGGTGTCCACAGGATTCCAGCTTTTTGCGGGGTAAGGTATGGTATCGTCGGCGCCAAAAGGGTGGGGGGGTATGGTCCTGGCCGCCGGAGGCGGCCTGCTCGACGGGTGGGGGGGTATGGTCAATCGCTGGAGCGGCCACGTTACAACAGGGTTCGAACCCAGTACACAGCCGCCGTACACAGCCGCGGACACGATGCCGACTCACGGCGGCCCCGGCCGCTTCGATACTGTCGCGGGCCTTCTCGCCGCGACGCCGCCTCATCTTCGGCTCCTGGACAGCTCGCTGCCCGACGACGCCGAGCGCGCCGCTGTGCGCAGCTGCTGCGCTGGTACGCTTGCGTCGTGCGTCGCACAGCTCGACGCTGCGATTGCACCGCATGCCGTCCGCATGATGGACGGGAGGCTTCCGACAAGCGACGCTTTCCGTGGCGACGACCACGATCTCAGCAAGCTGAAGGCGCTCAAAACTGTCGCCACGATGGTCCTGCAGGACGGACCGTGCTCTATCGCGAGGCCTGCGCGAGTCTCGTCCACGCGCGCTCCACCTTCTTCTCGGACCTCAACGCGGCGCTCGATGCCGATGTCTTTGATTCTGCCTTTCGATTCAAATCGCCGTCGTGGCTCGCGAAGCGCGCGGGGCATGAGCTGTTGGCGCGCGTACCGCTCGTGCGCGTGCCTTTGGCCAGCTATGGCGCGGAGGGCGGCGTGCGATGGCGGAGGCGGAGGTGGCGCCAGCGGAGGCGGCGGAGGCGGAGGCCGTTCCAGCGGAGGTGACCATGGTTCCAGCGGAGGTGACCATGGCGGAGGCGGCGCCGGCGGAGACCGCGCCCGCGCCCGCGCCCGAGGTGACCATGGCGGAGGCGGCGCCGGCGGAGACCGCGCCCGCGCCCGCGCCCGCGCTCGCACCGGCCGCGCCCGCGCCTGCGCCCGCGCCTGCGCCGGCACGCAAGGCCCTGGCGGCCTTTGCGGACATGCTCTGAGGGGTGAGCACGATTGCCGGCGGGTCACCTCGTTCCTAGGCGCAGCTGTTT